GGGTCCTCTTCTCCTGGCTCTCTATGAGGCATCTTGCAAACGTGGGCTGCTGGGCTGCTTCCCCGTCAGGTGCTCCCGCTTCCCGCTGCTCCCTGCTTCCACCTGTAAAATAAGGATAATGATTCGGCTGCCTTGTAAAACATCGGAGGAGGAGAAAGCTCGGTTTTACGCCTTAGCCAAACACCTGCCCTCTTTCTTTGTTTAACCTACCGGGGATGTATTTTAGGAATTCATCCTAGCAGCTACGTGCGGCGCTTTGCCTTGGCTGCCTCGGCTCCGGCAGCTGGGGCCCTCGGCTGGTTCCCCCCGGGGGGGTGGGGTTGTGGGGGTTTTTTTTTTTTTTTTTTGGGGGGGGGGGGTTTCTCCTTTATGTTGCATTTGAACAAGGTGTTATTGTCAGTGATTCATTGGGACAGGAGGGGAAATTAGTGTCTTCTGTGTCCTGTTGCTGAGGTGTTGGTGTGAGGTGTTGTGTTAGTATGCTTGTCTGTAACGAAATGTATAATGGTTCCAGATGTTTGAACAGCTGTAACTTTCTGCTTAGTACTCCCTGATCGTTATTTGGGGTTTCTGTAATCCAAAGAGGCAAAGTCAAGCCTAACAAGCAAACAAAAAACCCCAACTTATCATACTGGAAGTTTCTTGCCATGTCTGCAGATAACAATGTTGTGCCAAGCAGAGATGATTGATTGCGTTCAACAAAAAACCCAGAGCATCTGTGTCCAGGGGTGAGCTTGCCGCTGTGATTAGGAAGTGATGGTTTCTTTGGGAAAGTGAGGTGAAGCTGTTGTGCATGTGTAACATATGATTGAGGCACTGTTGTGCTGGGAGTGCATCATATACATTACACATAGGGCACAGGAGTTATTTCCCTAAAAACATTGAATTCTTTAGTATTGAAGCTGCATGGGAGAAGTAGCCTGTGGATGTACATCGAGAACACTCTCTCTTATGCTTCGCTACCACATCAGAAAGATTTCCTGTGGTGAACTCAAGTCAGACTGTGT